CTATCTATCTATCTATCTATCTATCTATCTATCTATCTATCTATCTAATCTCCTCCTCCATTGCACCTAATAGCAGTGAGTTCCCCAAGGTTCTTCCAACGCAAGTTGGTTGCTACCTGAATCCATGCCCGTTGTCTCTCTTGCTCTTTGCCCTTCAGCCGGGGCCCAATCGTATTCTTCAACTCAGGCAGGAGCTCCTCCATCACCAGGTTGCTCAAGATCTAGACAACAAAAGAATCACAGCCTGTCAGTCACAACCACATCTCATGTGCTGCTCTTTCACAGACAACTCTCCCCTTCATTGGATTATTATTTCATTCCCTCTGTCCCAAACCTTCTCACTTAGAAGGAAGAGGAGTCAAATCTGGGAAATGAAATGCTGAAGGCCCACAAGGCAAGGGTTCTCCTCTCCTCTCCCCTACTTCCCCTCTCCTTCCTTTCATCCTTCCTCACCCTCTCCCTTCCTCCATGTCCTCTCTCCCTTTTCCCAATTCCTTCTTTCCTCTCATTCCCATCTCCCTCTCTTCCTTCCTTTCCCACCTCCTTCTTTCCTTTCATTTCCATCTCCTTCCCTCTTCTTCCTTCCATTCCCACCTACCTACCTCCTTCCTCTCATTTCCATCACCTTCCTTCCTTTCATTCCCATTCCCTTCCCTCTCTCCCTTCCTTTCTTTCCTTCCTCTCATTCCCATCTCTCTCCCTCCATTTCCCACCTCCTTTTCCTTTCATTTCCATCTCCTTCCTTCCTCTCACTCCCATCTCCTTCTTTCCTTTCATTCCCATTCTCCTCCCTTCCCTCTCTCCCTCCCCTTGCAGTGCCAAAGGACTGCTTTTCCCTACTTCCCTCTGCTTTTCCCTACTTCCCTGGGGACGACACTACTATAGTTTCCCATGGAAGACTTTTGCCTATGCCTCAACCGAGCCTCGAGTGTGGGTGTGCAATACAATAAACAGGGTGGGATGAGAGAGATGGCAAGTCTCAACCCACAAGTCTCTTGCTAACAACTTCCACTCAAGTCATCCAACAGCCAAAGGCACCAAACTGCCAACACTCTCTTGTCTCCTCAAGCGTTCCAACAGCACAAGGAAAATTGGCCAGCAGTTAATCAATCCAAGCTTCCTTTTCCTAATTATTTAAAACTATTCAAAATTGCAGAGGAGGGTTGCCAAGGGGGCTTCAGAAGCCAACTAGCTCATCCCAACCACCCTGAAACTCAGAGCTAAGGCTTTCCAAAGTCAAAACTCACCTGGGCTTCGTTGCCACAAAGCATGTCCCAGGTGCCGTATTGCTCCTTTGACTGGCGGTACATCCGCACAGCATCGGTGAATGCAGAAGCCTCGACTTTGGACTCTTCTGGAATTCCTGGAAAGAGCGAAGCAGAAACAGGTGGCTAAAATCATTTCACCTGCCTTTGAGACTCCTAAGAAAAGAATTCAATGGACTGGGGACCCCATGCGATGAATTCAGACACAGCTGAGAAGATTTGGGTCCAGTGATCACCCTCAAATAACAAAGCCACCTCTCCCTTGATACCTGAAATGGTGGAGGAGGAGGAGGAGGAGGAGGAAGAGGAAAAGGGCAAAGGATGAGAAGAATTAGAAAAATAAGAATGAGAAGAAGGAAGAAAGGATGAGGAGGAAGGGGAGGGGGAAAGAAGGAGAAGGAAGGAGGGTAGAAGAGAAGAATTAGAAGAGTAAGAAGGATTATACGGTTTGGGATAGGTGGTACAAATGGGTGGAGGATAGAAATAAGAGTTGATGTTTACGTATAAAAGGAGAGGTATGTATTAATAGCAACATGAACACTGTTAATGTGAATAGAGATTTGTATTTTTGTTTTTTAAAAATAAAATATTTTTAAAAAAATAAAAAAAGAAGAGTAAGAAGGAGAAGAAGGAAGAACGGAGGAGGAGGAGAGGAGGAAGAGGGCGGAAGAAGAGAAAAATGAGAATGAGAAGAAGGAAGGAAAGAAGAGGAGGACAGAAGAAAATAATTAAAATAAGAAGGAGGAAGAAGAAGGAAGGAGAAAGAAGGAGGGCAGAAGAAAAGAATTAGAAGAATAAGGAGAAGGAGGGAAGAGGAAGGAGAAGAGGAGAGCAGCATAAATCTTAGCTCACTCATCCTGAATTACCTAGAATCAAGTGTTAAAATCTTTTCCCAAATGGCTAGGTTTGAATTTTTATCTTCCAGACATCTGTCTTTTCTTTCTCTCTTTCTTTTATTCAAGAGAAATTTTACAACGGTAGGTTCCTCCTGACAAACACAGTGCTTTATATTTTGATCTTTATAGCTGTGGGGGGAAAGCCTTCATAATCTTGTCTCAGCTTATCCTTGTCCTCTTCCTCTTAATTTCTTCATCGCACTGTCCATCTGTAACGGTCTTTGGAACCTAATTGCATCCGTCTTTAGCTGTTTGGGTGTTAACTGTGTAGGTTGCCACAACTGAAGAGAAGGAGAAAGCCCCGGGGTTGAGGTCACGCTTTCGTGGCACCTACATTCCCAAGAGAAATGCCCCTCGGACCTTGAATCTGGCAGAAGTAAATCACAGCGGGGAAAGAAAAGGGGAAAAAAAGGAAAGAGATTTCCATCCAAGCTGGGGGAAGAACAAGTGAGAGAAAGTGACTAAGGAAGATGCTGGGGGGATGAATCAGAGAGGCAGCATCGTTGCTCTGCTTCAAGCTTTGCAAAATTGACTCCCACGCAGGAAAGAAGGAAAGAAGGAAGGGGTTGCCTTGACAAGGGTTTCCCATCGACATGTCTGGGATTCCTTCTTAGTCATTCAGGGAAAAAGACTGGGGATGTGGAGAGGCAATGGAGAAATGGGTGGGTGGCTCCTTTGACCCAATCTCTCTTCTCTTCTTCTCCTTTCTTTCTCTCTTTCTTTCCCTTCCTTTTTCTTCCTTCCTTCCTCTCCTTTCTTTTCCTTCCTTTCTCCTCCTTTCTTTTTTCTTTCTTTCTTTTTTCTTTTCTTTCTTTCTCTACCTTTCTTCCCTTTTCTTCCTCCTTCCTTCCTTTCTTTTCCTTCCTTCCTCTCTCCCTCCTCTTGCCTCTTTTTTCTTTTTTCCCCTCATCTCGCTTCTTCCTTCCTTCCTTCCCTCTTTTCTTTCTCCTTTCTTTCCCTCCCTCCCTCCCTCCTTTCTTTCTTTCTGTCTTTCTTTCTTTTCTTTCTCTTTCTTCCTTTTTTGCTTTCTCTATTTCCTTCCTTCCTTCTTTTCTTCCTCCTTCCTTCCTTCCTCTTTTTTTACCTCCCTCCCTCCCCTTCCTTCCTTCCTTCCTTTGTTTGCTTTCTCCATTTCCTTCCTTCATTCCTTCCCTCTCCCTTCCCATACTCCTTCCTCCTAATCAGAATAAAGTGAGCTGTTTCAGGAGAGAAAGGTGGTTGAAACCATTGAAGGACATCCAACACTGCAGGAGCAGGAAGCAGAGTGATGCCGCAAAGCATCAGCAGGGAACCCAAAAGAACAAAACCAGGGATAAATACAGCAAGCAGCCACTTTCAAATGCTGCTATAAAATACCACGTTGACAGCAAGCAAGAAGGCCCAGCCCAGCCGAAGGAGAAAGGGAAGCGTGGGAAGAGAGGCTGTGGCTGAGACAGCCTCATAAATCCTCTTGGTCTTTCGTAGCTCTGTTAATCACCCCAGCAAGAGACACAACGGACCTGAAAAAGGGGGGAAAACTACAAGGAGAATCCCAGATGCTCGGAGCATCAAAACATATTACCCCCCCCACCTTCCTTGGCTCTACAGGATGCATGGATTGTACCTCCATGAAAGGAGGGCAGAGACACCAGGGGAGGCAGCCCAGCTCAGGAAATGAAACCCCATGTGGCTGATCTCCGACGAGAGTCCGAACGCTGCTGGTTGTTTGGGAAGCTTGTGCGCAGACTCTCTGCCGCCTTGAGTGTGCAACAGGACACACACACACACACACAGAGAGAGAGAGAGAGAGAGAGAGAGAGAGAGCACGGCACTTAGAGGAAGAGGAAGACACCTGGCTGCCTTCCTTTGGATTTCCTCTGCAGGAAAGGCGAATTTTCACACAGAATCTTCCCTCTCCTTGAATCTCCTGGAATGAAAGGAGAAATTTCCTGACAGTGAAAACAAGTAACCAGGGGAACGACTTGCCTCCAGAAGTTTGTTGTTTTTTTTTTTTTTTGGGGGGTGGGGAGCTCCTACACTGGAGGTTTTTAAGAAGAGATTGGACAGGATGGTATAAGGTCTTCTGCTTGAGCTGGAGTTGGACTGGAAGACCTCCAAGGACCCTTCCCAACTCTTGTTATCTTAGGATCCCAGACCAATTCATCTGTGGAATGGCTTAGGTCCAGAAGTTGTGGTTGCTCCATCACAGGGGGCTTTCAAGGAGAGCTTGGACAGCCATTGGTCTGGAATGGTGGAGGCTTCCTGCTGGGCTCCAAGGTCCCTTCCAACTCTGTCCTTCTGTTATCCCTTCCCTCTTTCCCAGCATCAGGGTCTTTCCCCAGGATCGCTCTCTTCTCGTTCGGGGGCCAAAGTAGTTCAGCTTCAAGCTTCAGTCTCTGTCCTTCCAAAGGAACAGTCAGGGTTGATTTCCTTTAGGATCAACTGATTGGATCTCCAGAATCTTCGCCAAGACCAAATTTTACCTCTCCAAAATTCCAGAGGGAGGTTGGGGAGCAGGGAGGGAGGGAGGAGAACAGGGCAGCTATTGTGAGCCGGGTGGACAGGTTCTGTCCAGTCTGCACATTTCAGAGGGAAGTTCTGCTTAAGGAGCCAGCGAGGAGAATGACGGATCGCTTATTACTGGCAGAGCTGTTTTTAGAAGCTTTTCCTCCTGCACAGTGCATTCCAGAAGGGCCCCTAGTGTGGGAAACCTGCCAAGCAGAGCAGGATGGGTGGAGCTCATCGGATGCAAAATGCCACCATCTGCCAACAACACAGCTCTTCACCCTGGGCAGGGCCAGGTTCCCAGCCTGCAAAGTGGAGTCCAGGCACCTTGGGAGGAGCAACCTATTCTCCGAGGCTCCTGAAGGCAGGACAAGAAGCAATGGATGGAAAGCAATCAAGGAGAGAAGCAACCTAAAACTTAAGGAGGAATTTCCTGACAGGGAGAACAATTAATCATCGGAATGGCTTGTCTCCAGAGGTTATGGGTGCTCCATCACTGAAGGCTTTCAAGAAGAGATTGGACAACCATTTGCCCAGAATGGTGTAGGGTCTCTTGCTTGAGCAGGGGGTTGGACTAGAAGACCTCCAAGGTCCCTTCCAAATCTATGATTCTATGTTCTAATTAGTGTTTCTCTATTGGTGGGCGCATTTTGGTGAGTGCTCCATCAATGGAGGCTTTGAAGAAGAGATTGGACAACCACTTGTCTGAAATGCTATGGGCTCTTCTGCTATTATTCTGAACTTGTCAAAAACTGTCCTTTGTCCCTTGTCAAGGGACAATACCAATATACTGGAAGTTATGAGAGAGGAACCAGAACCTGAGAACTTTTCAGGAGTTTCCATGTTTGTTCTTCCTGGGATCTAAAGGCATCCATGGTTCAAGAATGTCCTTCAAATTGGGTCTGTCTAGTCTCCTGAAAGGAAGGACTAGGGATGACATGAAAGCAGTGTTCTAATATCTGAAGAGCTGCCACAAAGAAGAGGGGCTCAAAAGCACCACAGATGGAAACTCATCAAGGAGAGAAGCAGCCTGGAACTAAGGAGGAACTTCCTGACAGTGAGAACAATTAGCCAGTGGAACCACTTGCCTCCAGAAGTTGTGAATACTCCAACACTGGAGGCTTTCAAGAAGAGACTGGACAGCCACTTGTCTCAAATTTTAAAAGGTTTCCTGCTTGAGCAGGGGGTTGGACTAGAAGACCTCCAAGGTCCCTTCCATCTCTGTTATTCTGTCAAATGTGATAATCCCTGAGGGATGAAGCACGAGAGAGAAGGAAAGCAGGAGAGATGCTAGCTGTAGAGAACGGCAAGGCATCAAATGGGTTGGAGGGTGGAGTTGAGAAACTAAAACTCTCTGCATTCATTACTCTGCCTTCCTCCACAATCCAGGTTGACGTGCAATAAAGCAATGAGATCAACCAGGCAAGCCCAAGGTCATATTTGGAGTTGACAGGCGGAGGAGGCATCTCATGCGAAGTGAATGGTTCTGGAACAGTTTATAAACAGGATATGGAAACAGCAACTCCCCTCCCCCCCCCAAGGATGGAGATTCAGTTTTCCTTCTGGAATTACAAAGGTATGATCCAGCCATCAATTCTAATTATACCAAAGGGAGACTCTTTTGCGGCCGTTCCTATTTTTAGACTTCCTTCTTCAAACAGCTTGAAAATCCACCTCAGTAATTTGGGGCTACTGTAGCAATAGCAATAGCACTCAGACTTATATACCTCTTCACAGAGCTTTTAAAGCCCTCTCTAAGCGGTTTACAGAATCAGCCTCTTGCCCCCATCAATCTGGGTCCTCATTTTACCCACCTCGGAAGGATGGAAGGCTGAGTCAACCTTGAGCCAGTCAGGATCAAACTCTTGGCAGTGAACAGAGTCAGCCAGCAATACTGCATCGTAACCACTGCACCACCATGGAAAGAAAGGAAGGATGGAAGGACAGAAGGAAGGAAGGAAGGAAGGAAGGAAGGAAGGAAGGAAGGAAGGAAGGAAGGAAGGAAGGAGAAAAGGGAGGGAGAGAAAGAAGGAAGGGAGGGAAGGAAGGAAGCAATAGCCCTTAGACTTATATACTGCTTCCCAGTGCTTTACATCCCTCTCTAAGTGGTTTACAGAGTCAGCTTCTTGCCTCCAACAATCTGGGTCCTGATTTGACCCACCTCGGAAGGAGGGAAGGCTGAGTCGATCTTGAGCCGGTCAGGATCGAAGTGCTGGCAGTGGGCAGAGTTAGCCTACAATACTGCATTCTAACCACTGCGCCACTGTGGCTCTTGTAGCTTTTATCCTATGTCCGATAGGAACTGACCTATGAGCCACCTATAGACCTTACGTTGACCTTTTTTCTCTCAGGTGGCAAAACACCAACAGGAGCAGAACTTTCCTTCTGTCCCTGGGAAAAAAGCCATCCAATCTAAGAAACGATCAGAATATAGACCGCTCAAAAACTCAAGTTCTCCTTACATGTTGAATCAGAGGGTGGGGTCTTTCCTTACAGTCACCCAGTCAGATTTGCAAAAGCAAAGATGGTCTATATGGAGGCACATCCTTCAAAGAGAGGAGGAAGAGGACACCCACCCACCAATGTGCCCCGTCGAACATACCGTTGTTGCAGTGGCGCACACAATCTTGAAAAATGGCCTGCCACTTCTCCTGCTCCTTGCCGGTCATCACGCAGAAGTAGTAATGGCAGGCGTAAGGATGCCAAAGAATGATGGGGAATTGGGTGGGACACTTGACAATGGACGCGTGGCTGGACTTGGATGGAGAACCTGGAGGGAAAACAACGACAACAATGACATGGACACGCAATGAGCAACCCGGCCACCACTTGAGCACAGCAAAACCCGAGCGTGATGCTTGCAACAGGAGATCCGGACATTCCTGTTTGGTGCAGTCGAAGCACATGTGTGAGCCAGATGGGGATTCCAGACTGAACAACAATGGTAATTTCCCCAGAGACTCGGGAGCAAAGAGCAAGAAGCAAGCACATCTGGCAGGATCCAGGACTCTAACAAGGCAGGAGCCTCTTTCTACCAAATGTTTCTCACGCAGAGGTCACGGGGATGCCAAGTCCTGCTGTATTTCAGTGGAACAGTGGCCTACAACTGTTCTCCAGTTCCACAGAGAGAGTTTTTTTCCTGTGGACTGGAGGGTGCATGGTTTTGTGTGTGCTGCCTGCATTTCACAGATGGGGCTTTGCTTGTTTGCGTGGCCCAGTTTCTGGCATGCCACGGCCCGTTGCTTGTCCACAGACCCCTGCAAAAGGACTAGCCACAGAAGCCGTGGATAAGGGTGTAACCCAGAAAAAATGGTGGGATCTATTAGAAGAAGAAGAGCACCCCATCGTCCCCCTTTTTTCCAAGTTTTTTTTTATGTTATTCTACATATACACATCAATGCGTGGACAGCGTGGCACCTGGGTATCATATATTTTGGTGCAAGTAAGAATAATAACATTAATCATATCTGTTGCATTTATCAAACTTATGTAATTCTAATGTTAATACACATATTTGTATTAAATTATAACCTTTCATTATTTAATTATTTAATGTTTTAAAATATTATTCTAATGCCAATCGCAATATTGTTTAAACATACATAATTCCATTATTCAATTTCTAATCTTCCCTCTAATTATTTTATCTCATTATATAAAAATGGGTGTATTAATAATTCGTCCTCTCTTATTTCTATCTCCATTCTAATTTTTAATCATGCTGCCATTATATTTAAAAAAAAAAACATTTTCCTTTTTACCCCTCATCTCTTATTCACATTAATACTTTAATTCTTATTTGCTTTAATTTTAATACAAAAACAATAGTAATATTAATCATATTCATAACATCAATCATGCTAGTGTAATTCTAACATTAATGCACCTATTTACATTAAGTCATGCTATTCCATTGTTTAGTTATTTCAATGTTTCAATATATTATTCCAATACCAATCACAATATTATTAAAACATACATAACTAGCTTGATACCTGCAGAAAAAACAATGGCTACCCACCTGCCTTCCATGGAAGACCTGTATAATACTGCACAAGTCAAAAAGAGAGCTGTGAAAATATCCACAGACCCCTCACATCCTGGACATAAACTGTTTCAATGCCTTCCCTCAAAACAACGCTATAGAGCACTGCACACCACCACAACTAGACACAAGGGGAGTTTTTTCCCCGAACGCCATCACTCTGCTAAACAAAGAATTCCCTCAACACTGTCCAACTATTTACAAAGTCTACACTACTATTACTATTAATCTCATCACTCCTTATCACCCATCACCCTTCTCATCACTCCTTATCACTCCCACTTGTGACTGTATGGCTGTAACTTCGTTGCTTGTATCCTTACAACTTATATTGACTGTTTCCTAGTATGATTTGATTGCTTATTTGTACCCTTTGACTATATTAAGTGTTATGATTCTCGATGGATGTATCTTTTCTTTTTATGTACACTGAGAGTATATGTACCAAGACAAATCCCTTGTGTGTCTAATCACACTTGGCCAATAAAGAATTCACTTACTCACTCACTCACTCATTCATTCATTCATCCATCCATCCTGTATCCCAGGCAGCTGGGATATACAAAGTAGAACTCACCTGTTAAGTTATTGCTGATCAACTCCAAATATTGGTCCAGGGAGGTGAGGATTTTGTAGCCGGCGCTGTTGATGAGAATTCGGGGCTGTAGACCTCTTTCATAGGCCTGGAGACAGAAACACATAAACATATAATTTTCATGTGGTCAACATTCCTGCCACTAATGGCCTCCTTTAAAGCTATCATACTAATGACCTCCCCTAGAGCTAACATACTTTATGGAACCTTGTCTTGATGTTCAAAGCAATTATGTCCAAAACCACCTACTAATTTTCAAGCTGTTGGAAAATTCCTTTTCAGGTCTTCATTTTCAGCGCCCTTGGCAAATTTACACTATTTCCTACCAGTATAATGGATCTCTTCAATCTATCATAGCTTCCCTAGCAGCCCGCACTTCTCCAGTGGCATAATAATATTTTTTTAAGAAATGAGTATTTGTCCTGAGGTCTTCTCTTGGAACTGAATGACAGTGTGCAAACCCAAAAAGTGCATCCAGTTTTGGTCACCCCACTATAAAAAGATGGTGAGACTCTAGAAAGAGGCAGAGAAGAGCAACCAGGATGATTAGGGGAGTGGAGGCTGAAACAAACGAGGAACGGTTGCAGCAACTGGGCTTGGCTAGTCTAGTGAAGAGAAGGACCAGGGGAGACAGGATAGCAGTGTGGATGAAGAGTCTCCATAGACACTTGGGTCTTCTCCTTCTCCATCCACCAAGCAACCCAAGCTAGCTTTGACAAAACAATCCAGAACCTCACCAGTTTGTTCTCGTAGAGCACCAGCCCGTAATTGAGCGGTACGACGCTGAAACGATTCCTCCATTTCTTGTTTTCTTCGATGTATTGGAAGAGGTTGCCTGAGAAGATGATCCGGTCCTCCAGAGGTACCTTGGGATACACAAGGGAAGGAGGAACACCATGAGCTGGAGAAGACATTCTCTGGACACTTGATTCTTGAACATTGGTTTATCAACTGTTTGAAGTTACCAGGATGCTGGAAAAAAGCTATTTATGACTGGTCCTCACGTTTAAGACAGCTGCAGCTTCCCTGACCATGATTTGGACACTTGGCAGCTGTTCCACATTTACAACGGTCACATCGTCCTGAGGCTACATGTGCGATCTTCCCAGCTGGCTTTGACAAGCAACATCAACGGGGAATAGAATAACTGTATTGTCACTTTGAATGTACACTAATTGGCATGCATTAAAAATGAAATTTCGTTGCATACAACTCTTAAAAGGGTCACCACCTCCAATATGACACCACATAAACATGAAGAAGAAGATAGAAGTCAGATAGAAGCCAGCAGAAGTCATGTGATGTTTCACTGAATGACAGTACTGCTTAGCCACAAATATTCTGGTCCTACTGCAGTTGTGAGTCAAGGACAACCTGTATAGAGATGCTTAAAATGAAGGAAGTCATGGCTTCTCATGATCCTTTTCTTTAAGAAGAGAACAAAGAAAGAGTTGCTTTTTTTGAATGCCTTTTGTAATATTCCAACTTTGTTTTGGGTTTGGTTTATTTTAAGTGAATCTATTTTGAGGCATCAGCCTTTGCCAAGGGATATACATGCTGTTTCAAACGCCTTCCTACTGATATCACCAAAGAAATCCAGACTGTAACTTCCACTACTTAAAAAGGCAATGTAAACATTAAAGCCGCAACAGGGAAGAAAACTTTTAACAATCAAAAGCCAAAAGGAAGGAAGTTGTGTTAGAAAGGGGAGAGGGGGAATGGAGTCAAAATCCAAATCATCTGCAAATATTGGGACAGCTCAAAGATCACAAAAATGGTCAAGCACAACTCAAAAATAGCATCGCCCAGTGGGGGGGGGGGGGGGGGGGAGATTGGGAGAATCTCAAATATTTACAGTGTTTCATCAGTCCTGGGACAGATTAATAAGCAGATTAGAAATAAATGGGGGGAAAAACCTGAGCTCTCAAAATATGCTCTATTTTAGCTTGCATATGTCAGCAGAGGCTGATGAAAGCTTAGTAAGTACAATAAATATAATTTTTAGTTTCTTCTGTAATTTTCCGTTTCTTCTTTTACATACATGCATACATACATACACACACACACACACACACACCCACACACTGCAGAAAAAAAGTGACTTGTGTCTGTTTTTCGCACTTACAACCATTGCAGCATCCCCATGGCACGTAATCAAAATTCAGGCACTTGGACTCATGTTTATCATCATCTTCTTTTAACGACCCCATTATCCCTTGCAGGGGTGGAGCCTGGGCAACTGAATGGAGCTTGGAGAGTGTTTTAATGGCCAGATGCCCTCCCTGTCGCCAACTGGAGTTTTGTTCAGCAGATATGTTCTCAGTGTGCTCAGAGAGAGAAATATCTGCCTCTACCTAGGATCGAACTCACAGCCTGACTGCGAGGTGAGAGCTCCGCCTCTAGGCCACCGCACCTCTCTGCCTGGATTCATATTTATGATGGTTGCAATGTCCCAGGGTCATGGGATCCCCTTTTGCGACTGTCACAGTCTCCCCAGTCACAGGCTTACTCTTACAATGGTAAGAAGTCCGGGGGGGATTTGTGACCTTGCCAACTGCCTTCGGACATGCAGAATAAATGAGTGTGGGATTCTCTTAACAACTTCGGTGATTCACAACCCTGACCAAAAAGGTTGTAGAATCAAGTGCGGCTCCCTGCAAAACCGCCTTGCTTAGCGATGAAAATTCTCATCTGAATTGTGGTCATAGATTGAGGATTACCTGTACTGGGGACAAGTGATATTGCACAGAAAGGGGAAAAGTATGGGTATGTCACTTAAATCAGTGGTGCCTATTCTGACCAAGGCTTCCTGAGACAGTAACAATCACATGCTGTTCCCAAAAACCTTGGTTTTTATTTCAATGGCTGTGAATTATATGCATTCACAGCCCGTAATGAGTTCCAAACAGTTTATGAATAGTCCCACAGAAGTCTGCCACAGTCCTTCGGGATAAGGCTGATAAGCACCCACCTTTATCTCCCTTGAAATGCTGCCAACGACTAATTGCCAATTAGCTGCACAAGGCCAAACGAAGCACAAAGTCAACACGGAGCCTCAGAGTTTAAACCAACCAGAACAAACAAAGTTGCTTCCTGCAAAGGCTCCTGTCCCTTTGCTCCTCCTTTATGCCTTATGGGAGGAGGGCAATCATCTCCCAGCCTTACTCCTGAGTCACCCCTTTTGTCTTAACTGTTCTTGCCTTCTGGCAGCTCTGTGCAAGCGTGCACTGGCAACAGGCTCCCCCTGTTCCTCTGCCTCACTGATGTCAGATTCTGGAGGCTCCGGAGTCAGCACATAACTCCCAGATGGCCCTGGCTCCATCTCTGTGTTGGACGCAGATCCCTTGTCCGAGCCCTCCCCAGACTGGCCCACGGTCCTCCCCACTGTCCGACTCCCCTGCCAGCTCCGCAGGCCACCAGGGGACCACAACAGTGCCCAATCTTTGCAGGAAGGGAACTGGGCCACACAAACAGCGGCCCAGTTCTGAATAGACCATGGTCCAGTAGTGGGCTGCTGCCCATGGGTTGGGGACCTCAAAACTGACCCCTGAAAATATCCAATGTTCTATTTTAGAGTCTAAAACTTCTGTTTTGGAGCAACGTCTGTTTGTCACTACTAGTGTAATTAATATGCTGTAGGCCTGTCTGCCACCATGGCCTGGGGGGATTCTTCCCAGCCACTTCAGGATGCGATGGGACTAGAAAATGGAGCATCCCTCTTGATTAAAAACTCGGGGCAGACGGAATCCTGCACGCCCGTCTGCATCTGGGCGTCTCCTGGTCCTTGGCAGACAGGCCGAGTTGCAATTAAGCACTTAGCCTGTTTACATTTGCAAGAAAGAGTAAAGATCAGCTGCGGAGGAGAATAATCACCGCCTGTTATTTTTTCTTTCCTTTTTGTTTTTTTGAGGGGGGGGGAATGAACCGGCAGACAATACAAACAACAGACAGTGAAGTCTGTTTGGCCGGCTCTAATTTCAACCCGGCCCAGGCACAAAAGACAACCTTCTGTGCCCTGGTTGAAGAACCCAGCCTTATTTAAGTTTACAATGCCTTGAACCAGCTCCCTTGATCATGAGAAAAACTGGATGGGGGTGATTAGGAAACCCCCAGAAGCTGTAGACTAGATTGAGGGGAAAAACTAATCTGAGAGCCAGTTGGTTTAGTGATTGAGGCACCAGGCTAGGAACTAGGAGACGGTGAGTTCTAGTCCCTCCTTAGCTATGAAAGCTCACTTTGAGTTCTAGCACCATCTCAGGCATGAAAGTTAAGTTGGGTGACTTTGAACCAATCACCAGGAGACGGTGAGTTCTAGTTCTGCCTTAGCCATGAAAAACGGTTGGGTGACTTCAGGCCAGTCCACCTCACAGGGTTATTGTCATGGGAAAAATAGGAGAAGGAGAAATGTGCATTGGGTATGTCCACCACTTCAAATTATTTGTACAAATAATAAAGGCAGGATACAGATAAATAAAGGGAAACAAATCTCAGGAAACCACTTCTGTTTCATTGCTGAAAATAACGACATGAAAACTCCCAGATGCTCAGCAGGAGCTGAGCTAAACCTGAAGGTGCCACCTCATTTAAATCCCATCTCATAAACAGCTCTAAAGCAGAATTATTCCACTCGTTTGCTGGGTTCCCCCAATACTGAACTGTGAGCCAATCAAAAAAGTTAAGTGTATTTGAAGTGCAAAACTATTCTAAAACACAGGATAGAGTAAAGATTCCTCTGGCACATCTGTGCTAGTCGTTTCTGGCTCTAGGGGGCGGTGCTCATCTCCCTTACAAAGCCAGCGCTGTCCGAAGACCTCTCCTTGATCATGTGGCTGGCATGACTGAATGCTGAAGGTGCACGAAACGCTGTTCCCTTTTTCCCTCCCAAAGGGGTCCCTATTTTCCTACTTGCTTTTTTTTACGTGCTTTTGAACTGCTAGGTTGGCAGAAGCTGCTGGCACAAGGAACGGGAGCTCACTCCGTGACACGGCGCTAGGGATTCGAACCGCTGACTTTTCTGATCGACAAGCCACTTAGCCACTGAGCCACCACGTCCTTTAAAACACAGGTTAACTCTACCAAACTCAGGAGGTTGTGTGAACGCCGCTGTTTTCAGCAACCCGGATTAAGCCATTCTTTCCCCCTTGTGCATCTCTTCCACCCTCTCTCTCTCTTTTGCCTCCTAGCCACCCATGTTCCTCCCGCCTGTACCCTCACATGCCTGTCCTATCTCTCAGAAGGCCCTAAGGACAATGTCTCTGATCATTATCGGAAAGACACGATCACCTCCCTCTCTTATGACACAGCTTGGGTTGCCTCCAAACCCTTCCTTCTCTACCTGAGGACTTCCCTGAGGAACCTTCATCAAGAAGAAGAAGAAGAAGAAGAAGAAGAAGAAGAAGAAGAAGAAGAA